CCCCAAAACCCCAAAACCCCAAAACCCCTTTGGATTAATAAATAATTGACACAAATAAAATCAGAACCTTTACCGCCAAAGGAACTCTTCCTCGTGCCTTCTCTCGTTATATCCATATAACTAATGCTCAAACATGATTTTAATTCTGCTCAGGTTCTCTGTGAGCTCGGAGTGTTCGATAGAATCAGCCTGTCGACAGAGTAAATTTCGATAATTTTATTTACTAGTAAATACCATCAAAATTCATTAAAACATCAGATTTACAATGAAAAAATTATCCTTTCTTCAACCACGAGGTTTCCTTTAATCAGCACTCTGACACAGTATATAAAATAGTTGAATGACATATCTGCGTCAGCAAAAATGTCACCACAACCACTATGGCTTAAAGTATCAGGAATAATTATCTTTTATGATATCAGAAGACTCTACCACGGAGGAATGATAAAAACACATTAGAATATAAAAACATAAGTTTCCAGAAACATTATACACTTTTTTGGGTTAAAGATTGTTACATAATGTGCTCAGGCAGATGTGGTGCCTGTTGAGTGTTTCGTTTTGAAAATTCATCAGAGCAATGTGTAGATTGCAAAGAACACCAAACCTATAACTCAGATATGGAGTATGAACCCCAGTAATAGTAGTAGATGTTGTTCAGATTCCGGAATATCAATACAATATGCAACCAGGCCAAGCCTGCTTGTACAGTCTCAAAACCATCTCTCTGACAAATTTCCCTGAAATTTCAAATTCCAGCAACCCAAGTTCAAAGAATGTGCCTAAATACTTCTGAATTACCTATATAAGAAGGCGGCATACCAAGATCGCAAACATGCTGATAACTCATATAAAATAGCAAAGAGCAACCCTGAATTACTATCCTTCATTCTCTCATTTTAATAACGATAAATATTTATTGACTCTTGCATTTATAAAATTCTACATTTTCTTTCTCTATTCAACAATATGTTTTACCTAAGGGGTTTTGGGGTTTTGGGGTTTTGGGGTTTTGGGGTTTTGGGG